AACACCGCATTGTGGTGTGGGTCCACACTGTGCATGGAGCAACAGCTCTGTGTATCTTACCCTGGGCCTGCTGTACCTGTCAAACATCATCCTCAGGGTCACGTATGTCTCTGTTCATACATGCGGTTCTGCAAGGTCCTTGTATATAAAAAGGCAGTGGAGACATCTTGCACTGGAGCACAGGACAAAGAATAAGGCTGCTGGGCTGCAGAGGTGCCACAGCTCCAGGCGAATCTGGGTAATTTTGGAGGTCAAAATCCCATTATAGGAATGTTAGTCCTGTGAGTCAATGCATAGAAGAGAACCAACACAATCCTGCACACCAAAATCCTATGGCAGAGAAAGCCTGAGTTGCAACATTTGTTTTGGTAACCTCTAAAAAATAAATTAGCTTCACTACTTCTAATTCACTTTACGGCACACACAGAGATTTACAAACACATTGTGAGGCAGTTGATGAGTCCTGGGAACTCTGGCTGTGTTGAGGAGAGGAGCTTGGGTTGTTCTGGCCCCAAGATCAGGTTCTTTTACTGCTTTGGACAGACATTCTCACTGGCAAGATGGAGCAAGGAGCCTGCTTGCAGGTTACAGGAGTTCAAAATCCTGACACACTTTTGGATGCGAGGAGGTGTGAAACCAGGCAAGGGTCTGTTAGAAGGAGGTGCCAACTCCTTTACAGCAGAGAGGGGCAGGGAACACACAGCCAAGAAGGGTGATAGGGGGTTGGGGATGGACATGAGTCCTGAGGAATGGACATGGGACAGGTTTTTCCATAATGTGCTTGATTGGAGCTGGTTCCTGATAACAATCCTATGATGCACCCAGAGGAAGCAAATGACCTTAGAGGAGTTTCATGTTTGAAGCACAGCTTGCTCCCAGCATACCAGTGTTTACTCAGCACTTACTGGTCTCAAAATAGAGCACTTAAAGAAACACCGGGGGTTTTCCCACATCCTTACAGTGCCATTTGTCACTGGTCCTGTTGTACAGGGGGACACAGTGAGCTGGTAATTTGAATCTGTTCACACATTAATTAGAAGAATGCCCCATCAGAAGAAAATATATTTTGCTGCACTTGTAAGATTTAACTTTAACTTGAATGCCAGAAAACATTGACAGTGCTCAAATGACTAGTTATGTCTTTTCCCACTCCAGGGAGGGGAATTATCTCTCCATTTCTAATTGGCTTGCTTTTGGCCATCTTGAGCAGAGCCACTGAATCTTTTCTTACACCCACACTCTGCACAGTGAGTGCTGAGAATATTCACTGGCTGCATACCCTGGCCAGGGGCCCATCTTGGGTGTGTGTATGATGGATGAAGTCTTGCCTTTCCAGACAGACTTTCTCCTGACCATTCTCATTAGAAGTAGATGATCAGAGGCCAGGGCTCATGGTGAACTGAGAGTTTTATGCCCTCTGACGTCCATGGATGCAGAAGGCAGAGTTTGCACTGCTGGTGCTAGTAACAATTTGCAAGTCCTTGCTCAGTGCATGACCTCAGTTGCAGTGGGCCACGAAGAGCTCAGAGTGGTTCTTGCTAGTCCTTCACACTGATGACTCCTGCTCTCAAATTGCAGCTGCAAAGACAAACAGAGTTATCTCTGTGTTTGGGATAAGAAGCATGAGAACCAAACTTCAGCTCTCCTGCTATCCAGGAAGTTTGAGCCAGTGCATGTCTTGGACACAGCATGTTGCACACTTGCACAGCGCCAGCCAACACATGGCAGGAGCACAAGCAGATGTGCTTGGAAGTAGCTGAAAGGAGCTTCATGCTAAAGAGAGCACTTACCCTTCAGGTGGGCACAGGCAACTCCCACTCTTCAAAAGGGATCCCCACATTTAGCTGTGAGAAAAACTGATTTGATCCTCCCTTTGGTATATTTCTTGCCCTCAGGGTAGCTCAAACTTTATACACACTACCCTTGCCTGCTAGTGTTGTGTTTTTGTGTCCATACCTGGAACAAATCTTCCAACCACAGCAGCAGGGAGATGCTGACTCAGGCCTTCAGGCTGCTGTGGAAACCATAGTCATCATGCCTGAAATGCCATCATACTCCCTTCTGCAAACAAACCCCTTAAAACCAGCGCAAAAGTAAGCTGTGGGCCAAGCCCCTGTCTGGAAGGCACAGCTTCAGTCCATTGGCAGCCACTGAAACTGCAGGGGGAGACTCACTGTGGCACTGCAGCCTGGGGGAGACAGTGAGATAGCCCTGTCCTTGTCAGCATCTCTCCTACCAGCCCTGTGTGGAGGGCAAATGAGGCTGGTCTCAACTTCAGGAAGTGCTTTTTCTGTTTCAGCTCCAGCCCCACTACAGGTTCCAGTACTGGGATTCCTTGCTACTTCCCCATGCACTCTGACTCACAGATTTCTTCCCACCCCAAGACTCCTTTCCAATGGGAAGGAGTGCTTGTGGCAGACAGTGCTTGTGGCCTCACTTCTCACTGCTGTGTGCCCAAGGAAGTGGATGTGTGTGGCAAGGGCATGTGTTTACCATCATTTGGGCAAAGACTTGGCACAGATGAACTGCTGTTTGGATTGAAGAAAAAGCTGCTTCCCTGCAGAAAGGATGCAGACAAGTACCAGAGGGCTGGTAGAGTCTCCAGTCTTGGAGATACCACACACATAAATTGATAAGGCTCAGAACAACTGGACCTGGCATTTGGGTTAGCCTGTTTTGAGCAGGGAATGTATTAAGAACACTCCAGTCCTCCCTTCTTATTTAGTCTTATTTAGAACTGTAACTTGAACAAGACCCAGCACCCTTTCTCCCTCTGCCATGACTGAAGCCAAGGAAAAAGACTTAGGGGTTCTGGTTGACAAGAGGCTCAACAGCACTCCCAGCCCAGAGAGCCAAACGTGTCCTGGGCTGCATCCAAAGCAGCGTGGGCAGCAGGGGAGGGAGGGGATTCTGCCCCTCTGCTCTGCTCTGGTGAGAGAGATCCCACCTGGAACCCTGCACCCAGCTCTGGGGTGCCAGCACAGGAAGGTCATGGACCTGCTGGAGTGAGTCAGAGGAGGGACACCAAGATGATCAGAGGGATGGAGCATCTCTGCTATGAGGACAGTCCAAGCAACTTAGGGTGTTCTGCCTGAAGAGGAGAAGTCTGAGGAGACTTTGTAGCAGACTTCCAGTACCTAAAGGGGCTACAAGAGAGACGAAGAGGAACTTCTTACAAGAGCACATAGTGATAAGACAAGGGGAAATGGCTTTAAACTGAAAGAAGGCAGGTTTAGCCTAGATATGAGGAAGAATTTATTTACTGTGAGGGTGGTGAGGCATTGGCAGTTGGTCAGAGAGGTTGTGGATGCCCCAGCCCTGGAAGTGTTCAGTGTCAGACTGTGTAGAGCTCTGACCAGTGAGATCTAGAGGAAGATGTTCCTGCCTTGGTGGGGCTGTGATGGGGGGAAGCGCATCAGGACTTATCTTTCCATGTGCTTCCAATCCAAACCATTCTATGACTCTGTGATGTCTTAGCATAAATCACTCATGCTACTTTAACACTGCAAAGATGCAGCAACTACAGAATGACTGTTCTCTGGTGGATGCTGAAGGTACCAGCTACAGCAAACCGACCAGGAGAGAGGATTTCATGATTTAGCTTGGTGCCTTCCCCAGAGAGACAAATGAGGGACAACAGCTGATGTCAGGTTAAATAACCATTTCACCATTTGGGGATGTGACCAAGAAAGAGAATTACATCACAGCAGCTGCAAAAGTCCAGCTTGCAGGTGGATCACTAACATCTGATTGATTTAGTCTTGACTGGTTCTGGCAAGGGGCTGGTGAATCATCTTCAAATGTGCGGGTGCAGGGAGAGAGAAAAGGACACATAAACATCACTTCAAGGACTGAGGCTATGAAAAAGTAACCTGGGAACTTCCCAAATACAATTAAGCTAAGGTTCAGCCTTTAGGGAAGACTGAACCATCCTGCCCCTGACCCCCGTCTCGGCACTTTCCCCTTTGCTTCTAGAGGTGCTGTGTCCTGCCTGAAAACAAAGGAGATGAGCAGAGGCAACTGTGGGTGAAGTCCCACACATGTTTTTCTGCTCCATTTCCAGAATTATGGTAGTAGGAAAGTGGCCTGGCCCTTCACTTTGGGGTGTCTCCCATTGGTGTGACCCAAGTTGAGCCATGCCCAGGCAACACTCTCTACCCCTGCTCCCCAGCACAGGTCCAGCTCATGCACCAGACCCACGTGGGTACACAGACCCAACCGAGCCCCTCATCATCATCCTCCAGACCTGTTTAGATACCACACAATATTTCTCTGCATGAGCATTTCTTCCTGCCACATCTCCTTAGTCCCAGCCATGCCCCTGGGCAAACCGCTCTACCCCTGCTCACCAGAGTTTCATTCCCCTCAGGTAGCTGACTCCATCCCAGTCTGCTCCTTCTTAGGTCTGTCAGTCCTAGGAATCCTGACCCAGGGATGCCCAAGCTGTTTGATGTGTTGACTGTAATTAATTATTCGTGCTGATTATGCATTCCTGGTTGACTAATATCCCACAAACCAAGTACCCATCTGTCTACATATTTAAACATAGAAATGTTTTTTCAGACCTGATATTAATAATCAGTGTTACCAATTTACATTTGGGAGAACAAAAAGACTGAAGAGGAGAAAAGGGAAGATGGTTTTTGTATAAGCAAATCTTTCTGTCATGCCTGGTTAGCCCTTGAGTCCCCTCCTATCTTTGTGCAGAGGGGAGACAGATGTTGCTGATGCTCTGCTGTACTAGCTTCTGGTCCAAAATTTTTGCCTGGACCTGATTAAACTGAAATCTTATAGTTTCTCCAAAGTATTCCATCTATGGTAATGTGAACACACTAGACAAAGGAGTCCAAAGAAGAACAATCTTCACCATTCCAGCATTTTTGAGCTAAGAATAATTACCCACAGAAAAAACTTCAGACCACGGCTCCTATTACAATACTAAAGAACCCTGTCTTCCATCCCCTCACCGGGCTTGCTTGTGAGAATAAACACAGAAAACGGAACAAAGGGATACATTTAATTAATATGTTTGGAAAATTTTTGTTAGAAAAATAAAGCAGTTAGGAGTTCTTTTGTTAGCAAAGAAACTACTGTTTCTTTTGTGAGCAGCTTCCATGTGGTTGTTGGTTGCACATGAGTAAGTGATTATCGTGTTTCAGTAACATCCAGGAAACTCTGAAAAAACCCAAGACATAATGCTATTGCAATGTCTTAACAAATCAAATTTCTAACCCCTGCCATCAGAGTTACAGTATTTGTGGGACTACAATAGAAAATAAGGGCACAGCTATAATGATTTCCCTACAGAGGAAATAAGCAACTTCTGCTAGTGTTTAACACCATGGCTGCTGCTGCACCAACAGCTTAGGGCAGAGACTGTTCCAGCCATTTCAGCAAACCCTGCTTCATGCAATATGAGATGGTCTGATAGTAAGAAACCCACCCACCAGGAACCACAGTGGGATCAGGAAAGCAACACTGGAAACACATTGTGGCCAATGACCCCAGGCCTTCAGAAAACATGCCACCAAGCAGCAGAAAAACATGAGAACAAGCTGAGGGACAGTAGACAGTGCCAAAAAACTGCCATTTTGACTGAGAAGAGAACAGGCTGTGTTGCAAGACTCACCTTAACTTTTATCTCACCAGCATACCAGAAGCGATGGCGCTGGGAGGAAGCAAAAAGGACCGTGTGGCTGGTGCCCCACATGCTGCCACAGCTCTCATGGCTGCCCCATCCAGGCAGTGAATTATTTAGGCCATGCCAGCAGCCTGTGTATTGTTCATTCCAGTGCCTAAAGTACAGCAAGACATTTTGGCTGGTGTTTTCTGCTAGCATGCCTGCACGCTTCAGTCTCCCTGCTTAAACACTTAGTTTTCCACTGGTCTGACTACCTGTAACCTCAGCAGTTTTGCAGAGGGCTGCAGAAGAATCTTGAACTTGGCCAGCATCATTGTCCATTTCTCCTCACTGTAATGAATTATCTTGAAAAGATTTCTGGAGTTGCAGCTATACAAGAGTCTTCAACACCCCTCTACTGGGCTGGCTGTGGTCCTCCTTGTACAGCTTAGTAAGCAGTTTGCATGATACACAATGAGAATTACTTTTGGCTCATATTCAAGCTCTTTTCACAGTTACTTCCAAGTCCTATTCACCAGTCACTTCTCAGTCTGAACCAATCCTCAGGGCTATTCCTCCCTCACCCCTGTGTATCAGATGCCACTGACACTTCTGCTTCCTGAGCTGTGTAAAAGTCCTGGTGGTCCAATCCTCCTGTTCAGAGACACCACTCTGGACCAAGGCTCTGTCTTTCACCATGTCAGCCTCTCCTTCATAATGATTATTTCCAGCACTGTAAAAAACAGAAAAAGAATATATAAGTATGTATCTGCATATATATGTATGTGTGGTGAGAAAGAATCATGCAACATTTCAGTTTTCTGCAGACATCTGCTGTTGCACTTATGAGTTTTATGTTCCCTGGCACAGAAACACTTCCACTAAAAGCAATAAATATAAAAATATTCAAGGAACAAAACAAGTACAAAACAGGAGCCAAAGTTTTATTGAGGTTCATACCTGTAGATGCCAGTAATCACTTGGGATCTTTATTGGATCCTCTGCCAAATCCATGGCCTGTGTGTGCTGGAGTGGTGCTGTGACTTGGCCAACAAGCACAAAAAGCCCCAGGTGATCAAAGGACTGATACCAGGTGGCAACTTGCCCTTTTGGTAAAGCTTTTCTGGGGTGGCAATAAAAAAAAAAGGCTTTGTACAACCTTCCCACCCCAACAGTAGTCCAGCTATGACAAATTTGTTCTCAGTAAGTTCTTGTTTAGAGGAAAATAAATGAAACCTAAGTAAATGTGCCATCACAGCAGAATCCTGTGAAAATTTTGGTTGGAGGGGAATCTCTGGAGAGGTCCAGCTCCAAAGCCATGCTCAGAGCAAGGACAGCTTCAAGGAGCTTGCACAACCAAGCTGGGAAGTCTCAAAGGTCTCCAGTAGGTCTCCTTTCCTTGTAGTGCAAACATCAGACTTGCAGCCAACACCCACTGCATGGTGTGCCTCCTCAGACACCCTCAGCATAGGTAGGTATTGTGGGTGTGCTTATTGCCATTGTTGCAAGCACAGGAATCCACCACCAAAGCGGCCACAACTTGGACAGGCAAATGTACAGTGCACCAGGGAGGGAGAAGGTCTCCACCTGGACATGGCTGCACAAAGCCACAGCTATCCTGATGTCATTTCGGGAAGAGACCTGTTGTATGCCAGAGCAGGAGACCTTCAGAAGGCCCTGCTGGTTTTTGTGTGCTGGGTCTTAGGCGACCTTACATGTCACTTTGGGCTCAGCTGCAGCCCCTGGCCATTCTGGGCAGGTGAGAGCAAGAGGATTTGTGTACACACAGAGTTGTATACAAGGGACCACCCCGGGTGTTCACCTCCACCACCCCAGGGATATTTCCAGCCCCTGTCACCTCCGAGCTGAGCTGCTTCAGATTACTTATCCCTGGTTTCAATGGGGGTGTGAACTGGAGAACTCCAGAGGCTCCACCACCATGAGCACTGCCGGGGGTCTGAAACCAGTCAGGTGAGGCAAATTGGTCATAAAAGCAATGGTGAAGGTGCTATACGAAGTTACTCAATGAAGCGTAAAACGCGGTCTGCGGCAGACAATTGAGACTGAATCACCAGGTACTGCCTACAGCTTCTCAAGTTACACAGATAAAAGAAAATCCTACCTAGGTGCAAATGCCTGCAAAATTTGTCCTTGTTCTGAGATGAGTGCAAACTGACCCACCCTGGCAGCTGTGTGTTCCCACCTTGGTTTACAAGGGATTCTGCAGGCAACAGGTTTTTTTTTTTTGTTTGGGGTTTTTTGTTTTGGTTTTTTTTTTTTTTGGTTTTTTTTTTTTTTTTTTTTGTTTTTTTTTGCATTGTTTTGTTTTTTATGGTTTTTTGTTTGTTTTTGTTTTTCCAAATAGTTGGTTTTCCTCACTTTTCCAGGAGGAGCTCGGCTTCCACCACTCGGCTTGGGGTTCTGACTATGATATCTGTAAAAGGAGGGTACCAGCAGATATTTCCAAGACTCTCAAACTTCTGACTTCAGTCTCTTGTGAGGTGTGTGAAGGTGTGTTTGTGTGTGCTTCCCAGTGATAGGGACAGAATACTCAAGGATCTCATCCAGCCACCCTGCTGCATGATGATACACGTATTGATTAAAAACCAAATAAACCACTTGTAGTTGAAGGGTTATGTTAGTCAACCAATTGTGCCTTGTCCACTCTGGTTTGTTATGGCCAGGCTACACACCAAGCAACAAGGACACCAGCTCCCATGCTGCCTTCACAGCCAAGCAGCAGTACAGGTTGCTGGAGTGTCTGGTCTGGTGCCAGTCCCACCTGTCAGCCCATCCCTCTCTTGCCAAATGGGAAAAAAAAACTTGCTAAGTTCCCACCCTTTCGAGGCTTCTACACAAATAAGTGAGAGGAGCAGCAGTTGTTATGGGCTACCTCAATCTGGGAGAAAGCATCCTTCTCCAGCTGGACACTGCCCATCCTAAGGGACAGCAGCTGGTCTCCTGCACTGAACCCTGTAAGAAACACCCAGAGGTGGAGACATGGGCAAATGAAGGGCAAGCTGCTTGGACATTTTGAGGCACCAAGACTGCTTGTGTTTAGAGTACCAGGAAGGAACAGCCTGAAGGGAGAGCTCTTCCAAGAAAAAGAAATTCCAGCTACCTGGATGGTTTCTTGCCATGGTGCACAGGGCAGAGTGGTGGTCAGTGTGTGCTATCAAACCCCAGCCCTCCAAGTCTGCAAACTGGGTGCAGATTTGGCCTCACTGTGCTGTCTGACAGTTTGGTTTTCTCCAAAGCCAAGCCCCATCACAGGCAAAAAGCACTTCACACTGTTGACAGAACAGTGAGACCACTGCTCCTGGAGAGCAGACTATCTTGCTGGTGCTGATGATCTCAAGGCAAGGACTGGGGCTGGGGCTAGCCCTTAAAAAAAGCTGTTGCCTGCCAAGCCACAGACACAATTTCCTGCTCCTTCCTTACTGTTACTGCTCATTTTTTTTGCCCCTCACCTCATTTTTATAAGCATCCAAGTGCCTTACCCAAGATTACAGCTTGGAAATGTAACACAATTAAATACACTCAATCCTATCAAACGTCACCACAGAGTGTCATTACTCATGATTAGTCTACAGTTACACAGAAATTAGTCTTCTCACAGTTCTGTCTTTTCTAAAGTCCATAAAAAAGAAAGATAAATGTCTACAGTTTTTGCCTGTAAATAACAGCTTTTCAGCCTAATTTTTAATTTCACTTCTAACCTTGAAGCAGTTTTGACAAGACTCACCCATTAAAATCATGGAAATGGGTTGGAAAATCCAGCTTCTAACATAAGTCTGTGGCATGGTCTTCCCCTCCAAGACAATAAAGCCGAAGTACACCATGCCACATTTTGTTTTCATGAGGCCTCCTGTGCTCTGTATGCACCCAAATCAATGCCTATCAATCCTCGCATCATAAGATGGTTTAGGACTTAAAAATTATGCTGATTAGAAACATAGCAGCCACCTCTGTGAAAACTGTGCTGGGGTACCTGTGGCTCTATTGGTTTAATGCATCCAGTGCCCCTGCACTGGTGCATCACTGCACCACTGGTTTCTGCAGACATTTTCTTTTAATTTCATGTGAAAACACTACCTGGAAGCTGTCCTCTCTGCCAACCCCAGTGACTGCCTACTATCTGTGAGCTGTGCTGGGCCTCCCCATGCCCCTCACTGCAAAGAGCAGTAAAGAAACCTACACAAAGCAGTGTCTAACCAGCCTCAGGTCATCTAGCTGCTCCTTGCAGCCTGGGAAAGGTGGCAGTGCTTCCAAGATGCCCAAGCCAGGAGTCAGCTGGGCAGATGAACTCAGATAAAGCCAGTGGGCAGTCTGAGCATGGTTCCTTTATACGCTGCTGCAGCCCCCCATGTAGACAAATGTGAAAACATAAGGCAAGCTAGAGATTCCCTATCTATCACCAGCTGTTTACCCATACCACAGCTCAGCCCCTTCTGTGGCCCAATTCGGTCCTCCTCCCTGCAGCTATGGGGGAGGTTTGGTATTATTCTGGTTTTGAAAGCAATAGCAGTGAGAGACTCCAAGTCATAAATACAATTTATTGGGAAAAGGGAAAAGAGGCAAAATACATGCAATAATACAAAAGGAAAACCACTGACAGAGTCAGAATACAAGCTGACACCCCTTTGGCCAGCGTGTTTGTAGCAATCCAAATTGGAGTGGATGCAGTCCTCCTGGAGTGGGAGATTTGGTTCTGTTGGAGCGGTGGTCCTGTGGAAAAGGTGTAGTCCATCTAGTGGAAAACCCCAGACGTGTCCTCTTGGAAACCTGTGGGAAGGCTGACTGCTCTGTCCCAAACCCAGGATATATCTAGGTCGGGATGCTTAGCTCTTCCCCCCTGGGCAGAGCATCTCACCATGGTCTGATGTCATTCTGAGTCCCTGCGTGAGTCCTTGATCATCTGTTAAACAGAAAATGGCCCTGGAGGGAGTTACCTCTGAGTCATGTGTTAAGACATTGATGGGCCTATGAACAGGAGATAAGGAAAACTGCCAAAGGGCAAGTGCTACACAGATGGTACTAGAAAACATCTTGCCTTTCAATCTCGGACAGGTATAAACCAGGATATGAAAACTCCTGGCCTAAGGACTGCAGGTGGTCCCTAAATGTAGGTGTAGGGAACCTCTGACCACACTTGGGCCATCCTTTCACCTCTCAAAAGGAGA